GTTCATTAGTAGAGGCGTTCGTATCCCGAGGTACCACTGTACTTGTTTGTACGCATTGTTCGTAGCATTGTCGTATGCCACCCAGAGTCCCTCGACCATGAGGTGGGCAGCCATGCAAATCTGACAAAATAAATCAATAAATCTTGGAGTCCCTGAAAAAAAAATGTCCCCGTTTGTAGCTGAACGGTGAATCCTTCGTTTCTTGCCTAACTTGAGTGGCTTTCTACCTTGCGCAGATCGCTCTTGCCAAAGCTTGCGGGAACGGAAACCAGCTGGGTCTGGAAAGCAAAATGTCGGTCGAGACGGTCTTCCAGTTCTTCCAGGCGTCTCTGCCTCTGAACAAGCAAAGCATTTTCACTGTCCAGAAGGGCATGAATGAGACCATGAGGTAAAGACGTCTTTCCCACCGTTCGGTCGATTAACTGGAGCAGCAGGCATAAAACCACCCTAGAAAGCCGAGTCTTTTTCCTTGGGGAATTCTCATCTCCCATTTGGGGGGTGGGGGGGACACCATTAATAAAGAGCTGCTAGGTCTCAGGTTGCTCCTGAAAAAAGTTTGGAGCACAAAGTAGATGTTAAAAGGTTAAGATCTCACGGGATTTAGCAACCTCGTCCAGTTTCCGCCAATTTTTTAAAAACATGATGCTGAATAGGGGGTGGGGGTCCTGTTTGGGGAGGAGACCAGATTTCTGAGCATCCCTAAATGTTGCCACCCACTGTGCTAAAAGCTTGCAAGAAATGCAATTGGACTCTATAACTTGATGGTTATAATGCTTCAAGCCTAAGTCTGGATATGCTAACACTGATTTTTTTAGGAATATGACTTGGATGCTTATGTTAGGTTAAAACTAATGTGGATTTTAAAAAATCATCATGTGAGAAGTGCCATACTAAGAATATGGAACAAATGCAAACTAGGTTGTTCCCAAAGATACCTCTGTTGGTCTCAGCACAGGAAGCTTTTTATAGAAAAGAAACAGCAGATGGAGAAAAATGGTTAACATACAGGCAGTCCTTGACTTACGACCACAATAGGGATCAGAAAATTTTTGTTAAGTGAGGCATTGTGTGGCCGCAGCCAATTTTATAACGGTGGTCATTAAGTGAATCCCATGGTTCCTCATTGATTTTGGTTGTTGGAATCCAGCTGGGAAGGTTGCAAATGGCAGTCATGTGAAAGATTGGAAACCCTCTATGGACTTTTTGCTAAAAAGAATTTACCAACTGAAAAAGATGTGGATTAAATAAGGGGTTGAAGGGATCTCTGGCATAGTTGAGAGGGAGGGGAAATGATGAGTTTGGTAATATCTGTTGAAAAGAAGATCGGAAGTCATTTACTTCGACTTCTTTAGTTATCCTTTCTTTCTTTTTCTTCTTTGCCCTTTATTATCTTTTTTCTTTCTTCTCCTTTTTTAGATTTGAATGAATAGATCTTAAGCAAGAATTATTTTTTAGAAAAAGGAAAATGACTCGGATGAAAGAAGCCCAGTGGGATCATGGATTCCCAGCCGGGAGCAAAGATGACCCTCTTTCTAACTGCTTTGCCATGCTTCCTTATTTTAGGTACATTTTGGTGGACTGGCTGGTGGAAGTAGCCACCATGAAAGACTTCTCCAGCCTCTGCCTCCATATGACGATTGGCTGCGTGGACCGGTACTTGAAACTAAGGCCCGTGCCCCGGGCTCGGCTGCAGCTTTTAGGAATTGCGTGCATGGTTATTTGTACCCGGTAAGCCCTGTGGCTCTTTGGGGTGCTGGTGGTAGACGCTTGGTCTGGTAGTAGCAATTCTGTTGTCGTCGTTGATGAGGTTTCCAAAGGTTTCTGAATGCTATGGCCGTAGCGGCCAATGATGTCTCTTGAGGCATTGGTGGAACAATTGGGGACTCGGGAACCCAACTACAAATGGAGAGGTGGGGAGGAGGTATCTGAAAGGTAAAGATGGGGTGTATTTTGCTATTGATTTCAGAAGCACTCGGGGTCCTGTCATTGCACTGCTGCAGCACGTGCCTTGGAGTTAGTTTTGCTGAGACTGGTTTTTAGTGACTCTCCACTTATGCCCTTAGGAATCAGACCGAGCACTGGTGACTTAGCTGCTGGTGGGGGGGGAGGGGGAGGTTCCACGAGAATTGGGCAGGTGGGGCTTCCGGTACTTCTGGGGTTGGCTTTGATGCTCACTGGTCTTCTGTTGCAGCTTTGTTAGCAAAGAGATTCTGACGATTCGCGAAGCTGTTTGGTTAACAGACAACACGTACAAATACGAAGACCTGGTCAGGATGATGGGGGAGATTATCTCTGCCCTGGAAGGCAGGATAAAGGTAAAGTTGCGTGGAGATTTGAACTGTGTCTTAAGCGTCAGCTGCTGGATAGGGAGCTATGGTGGGCTAGGCCAGTGTTGTCCAAACTTGGCCACTTTAAGATGAGTGGACTTCAACTCCCAGAAT